GTCTTCTCACTTTGTTCTTCTTCATATCTTTTTTTCTTACACCCTTTGCTATCCCATGAAAACGTTACACTCAGTCTATCAAACTCATCAACAACAAAAAGAATGGTCTTGTGGGTTGTGATTAGAATTCCACTGAATTTACATACAGTTCAGGAAGAACTGACATATGCCAATATTGATATCCTTACAACATTCACATCTAAAATTTGATAGATCTTTTCATTTCTGTAGCTCTTTCTTCTCTCAAAATTTTTATATATTTATATTACTCCACAAATGCCATGCATATACTATTACTGGATCTCTGACTAGGTATCTTATCATTTTTGATGTTATAAACGAGGTTTGGGTACACACATACATATTACATTGTCTGAATGTTGCTGATATAGAGGGATGAACTAATTTTTGTACGCTGAGCTTATATACGGCAATCTTGGTGAATTCTCATTCATTTTTATAGTCTGAAGAGTACAGGCAATCATAGCATTAATAAATAACAACTTAGCTCCCCCCTATCCAATTCTTATCACCTCTTTTAACTTGTCTTGTTAGTTACACTGACCAGGATGCTGAATAGAAGCCCTAGATGCCAGCTTGCCTTACAGATGGCTTTAAAGGGAAAGGTTATATATAATATTGTACCACTAAGTCTGGGGTTTGACATAGGGTTTTTTTGTTTTTTGGAGATTTTTCTTTTTTGAGATATTTATAAGGTGAAGAGACTTTCCTCTGTATTCTTAGTTTGCTAAATCTTTTCTTTTAACTCCAAGTAAGCGATGCATTTTATCAATTGCTTTTCTTTTCGAGGTTAATCTTAGAATTACTCTCCTTCAAGAAGCTTTCCTAGAACCCTCAAACTGGACTAAAAGCTTCTCTTCCCTAATTCCACTGCATTTTGCACTTTCGCCAGTAGATTAAACTATCTCTTTATAGGTCTATGCTCCCCAGTAGCTTATAAATAATTCAAGGACAAGAACCATGTTTGGTTCAAGGCTCTATCCCCCAGAACCTGGTGTACAACACAGAATCTCTGTCTACATATTTATAGATACAAATTCCTGAGAACATGTTCTAGAAACTTCATCCATTTCTTTCTAAACACAAATTATGTTTCTGACATTGAAGCTTAATTTACAGAGGCAGTTACGATGAAATAGAATGTAAGATTTGACAGAGAAGAGTTTTAGATTTCTAGATGTTTATTGTATAAACATCTTTATAAAATAACCCATAAAATAGAAATATCTTCTGAGACACACTGACGTTATTCTTAATCAAACAAAATTTGTTACTACGTTTGAAGCCAAATTCATATTTGTTTTAACATTATATTAATTATTTATCTTTGTGTCATACTAAAGGTAAGACCCTCCCCCCTCACCCCACCAACTTTGGTTTGCTCAGTAAGCGCCTTTCAGAGTTGTTTTTCTCACATCTAAGTACTAAGAATATTTTATTTTAATTATTTTAAATGATGTTCCCAATACCAAAGGGCCTTTCAAAATACATTATGTCCCAGTCAGTATTTGAAGAGCCCCACGTGTTTTATTCAGAACGTTCAGCTACTAAATGAGCATACGCTTCAAATGCCATTTGAAAATATGAAACCTTTATCTTTTAGCTCGGTTTTGCTTTCATGTGTAACATGGTTCTAAAATCACAGTGGTGATATTTATTAGCTGTCTTTGCAAAACTGTGGGCAATACATCTTTCACATTTCATTGAGGAGAAAAGAAACTTAATCCCACCAGGATCTCCATTATTAGTTCTTCCTCTTGATTTTTTTCCCCACGGGGATTTTGTGTTGGCCAGATGGTGCTCTGAGGAATCCCTCGACAGAGCTATATTTTACAGAGGCATACTGGAAAAGCAAATATCTATTTCTGAATAAAAGGATTAAATCTTATATCTTGTTATCGGGCTCACTAAGTCCATCCTAGGCATTATTGGGCTCTTATTCGACACCAGACAATACTTTTTTTTACTCACATCGCAGTTTCCCTTCACGTCCAGTAAAGTTTTTACTTTATTCCATTACTGACAGTAATTAGCCACTCAAGTGCACCCTCTATCCCCTTGAATTCTTCCAATGCTAAAGAGTACTCTACAAACCACGTCTTTATGCTGGATCCTCTCCCTCAGGCATGTCAATTAAACTTCATCAGCAGCAAAAAAATTGAAATATCCCTTTCTATATTCATCACAGATATTTATTTTTCACGGGGAAGAGTGGCTAAATGAAATGTTTGAGAATCATTTTGATGAGAAATTGTTTACTTCTTGAGTTGACCCAATTCTCATTTTCAAGCACAGTGAGGCTTTTAATCTTCAGGTAATTACCCTCATGATGACAAAAAGTCTCAAAAAGGGAGAAATAATTCCAAGGTCACGTATCCTGTCATAAGTTGTTCTAAATAGCGCAACATCTCAAAGTGTTTATTCCAAATCCTTTCTTTATGGCATAAATAAGATAATGTCCATTTGGTACCCTTCTCACCCATGTCCTTTGTCATAGTAGTACCTAAGAGTATGTCATTTCTATATAAAACCAGCTATCTTAATCAAGAAAAATAATACATTATTTTGTTTCAGTTTTGTTAAGCATGACCACTAAAAGTATGTGAACGTAAGGACCTATCTTTTGTCTTCCCTACTTATTCGTATGTTATATTTAAAGTTTAACCTTCCTGGGGCGCCTGGGTGGCGCAGTCGGTTAAGCGTCGGACTTCAGCCAGGTCACAATCTCGCGGTCCGTGAGTTCGAACCCCGCGTCGGGCTCTGGGCTGATGGCTCAGAGCCTAGAGCCTGTTTCCGATTCTGTGTCTCCCTCTCTCTCTGCCCCTCCCCCATTCATGCTCTGTCTCTCTCTGTCCCAAAAATAAATAAACGTTGAAAAAAAAATTAAAAAAAAATAAAGTTTAACCTTCCTTCTACAGCAACATTGAATAACATGGGTTCTCAAACTGACCAGTTCCATTCTTATATCTTTGCCTTTGCAAGTGACAGTCTCTCTCTGGAATGTACCTCCCTTTCTTGGCTGTCCATTTATATAAATATCTTTCAATACTCTGATCCAATTTCATGTTTATGAGACTTTCCCTAAACATTTCTTTCCAGACACATATGCACAAAGACTTGGCTGTTTTCTTTCTTCCTGGCCCTCCAATAACACTTGATAGATTAATTCACTAAATCAGAATTAAATGTTCTGCACTTTCTTCTCTTATGAGATTGTGAGATCCTAGAGGTCAAGGTATATCATTTATTCATCCTTGGATCCCAGAACCTAGCTCAGTACTGCTAAAGTAATTAATGAGCCCTCAATATGTATTTGTAAATAACAGATTACATAGTATATGCTGACTTCTGTGAAAACATTCTTAAATTCTGGAAAATGGGACTATTTTTCTATATTGAACTTAGTATGTGTGACCATAATGACCAAAAATAAATATGCTATTTAAAATAGACTTATTGTGGTGATCATTTTGCAATATGTACAAATATTGAATCAATATGTTGCACACCTGAAACTAACATAATGTTATATGCCGACTATACTCCAATTAAAAAGTAGATATGCCATTTTAAAAGTTGAATTTTTAAAATTTTTCAGGAGACACATGTAAAATTAAAAATTCCTGACTGAAGGGGTGCCTGGGTGGCTCAGTCGGTTAAGCGTCCAACTCTTGATTTCAGCTCAGGTCACGATCTCATAGTTTGTGAGTTCAAGCCCCGTGTCAGGCTCTGTGCTGACAGTGTGGACCTTGTTTGGAATTTTCTTTGCTTCTACCCCACCCATGTTCTCCCTCTCTCCCTCTCTCTGAAAATAAACAAATAAACTTTAAAAAATTCCTAACTGAAAAAAGAAAAAAAATGTGGGGATGTAGAATCTAAATTTATTTGTCAAAATTAACTCATATTTAGAATGTAAAATGTCTAAAAACAAGGGAACTGAGTAATGTAAGTAAGGCTTTTCAACGAAAAGGTAAATTTAGCTCTTGGGATCTCTTTACAAATGAACCTTAGTGGTTCATTTGTAAAACAGAAAAGGGAGTTGAAGGAAACAGAGTTAGGGATAAACGCCTCTCTCTGATTATTTTAGAGGGGCCTCAGCGATGAGTATTGACTGCACATTACCTTACCGATTTGTGAACAGTTTAGAATGACCCAGATTGTACTCTGCACTCTTTTTAGTTCATTTTAAGCTGAGCCAAGATATCTTCTATTTTGAAAACATACAAAAATAGAAAGCAAATTATAACCAATTTATAAAATTAGCCATTTAGGATACATTACATCCCATTGTGTTTACAGATTTCTTCCTTATTACTTTTCTAATAAGGACAAAGATTTAACTTTCCGTTAAGATGATTAAAATGATTTTAGCAAGAATGTGCCTGGATACTTGGAAGAGAGGAAGGTAGTTTATGTGTTCCAAAATAGCAATATTTGAAAACATGTGCATGAAAGAACTTTTGTAAGCATTCTTGGAATGATTTTGTCTCTATCTCCTTTCCCCCCACAACTTAAAAAAAAAAAGCTTTGGGTGGAGTTAAGAACTCTTTTCAAATCTTAAACAATTACTGGAAATCCTGAAAATGTATTCTCCTTTATTCAGTGGGGGAAAACACTTTAAAGCTTCTCTTTATTTTTTCTCCTGAGAATTGTTTACCAAAGGATTTACTTAATGGCTTCTATTTTGAACACAGAATTCAGTTATAACCGCCTGAAATATAACGCCATCTGTGTTTATTCTCCCCCCAACTCAAAACACAATTCTTCTCTTCAAATATAACCAGTCCATGGCCCTAATAACCCAGACAAATAGATCAATTCCACTCTTTACTTTAACCAAGGGTAAAATTAAAGAGTTACAACGCATACCATAAAAATATAAATCTGAATGCCAATATAAAACATACAAAGCGCATCTGTAAATTTAAATTTTTAAAGTTCTGATTTTAGTAATTTTTCCTTCTCTCTCTATTCCCCAGGGTGCAGTTAGCTGTGAGGTGACAAATAAGGACACAACGCACACAGTAATGGATATTAGTGGATGGGACCAGGAGCCAGGGGACCAGAGAATCACGGAATCACTCTGAAGCTTGTTTCCTCAAATCTATACCACCTTTTGAGCCCACCTGCACCTCTCCCTGAAACACCAACAGCTGGCATGTGGAATCCACTGGAAAATGAAATTGGAATTTAGTAATTATGTATTTTAAATTATTTTAAGTTGCAATTTTTTTTTAATGTTTATTTATTTCCCAGAGAGAGAGAAAGACGGAGCGTGAACGGGGGAGGGCAGAGAGACAGAGGGAGACACAGAATCTGAAGCAGGCTCCAGGCTCTGACCTGTCAGCATAAAGCCCGACACGGGGCTCGAACTCACAAACTGAACTCATGACCTGAGTTGGACGCACAACTGACGGAGCCACCCAGGCGCCCCTATTTTAAAGTACTTCAAGAGTGAGAAGTGACATACAAATGTGAAACATCCTTATATATTTATATTGAGCGTATTTTGAGCTGATTAATCCCGTAAATATCATTCTGACTGATCTCTAATGTAAGAAGGAGACTTAAACCCTTTTTCAGCAAGACTTCCGGGAGAAAATGTCAAACATTTTATTTAGAGTTTATTTTGCATTTCAAGAATGCTTAAATTCCGTTCATCAATCTTTATTACAGCCTGACAATTCTTAGAGCCATGGTAGACTTCAAGAGTATCCTGAAGTATGATTATTTTTGGCCTTATTCAGACAGTTATGATCTCCACTATCAGCCCCAACTTTGATTTTAGAAAGTGTATGTGGTGCCAGCTCTTCTGTCCTCAGGGAATGGAGAATGAGTTATCATGATATTCACTTGAAAAATAAAAACTAAGGTGCTAGTCTAAAAGACTAGATCCTGGCTGTTATTTGAAAGCCACGTGTGATTTTTGACTCCGAAAAGTCTTACGTTCCTAATTTTCTAATTTCTTGACTTTAAGATCCATGTAGAAGAACAAAGAATTGCAAACCCTTCAGACATACAACCCTGAAGGCCGTTCCAGCTTCTCCATGTCCCTTTGCCCAGGGCATCTCCAAAATAAATTTTCAATTTGTTATGGAGGAATGTTAAACACAGTCTATGCGTGTTTGTTTCACTTGTGTTTGTACTTGGTTACCACCGTATAGGGCTGATGCTTAGACTTTCTTGGGCTCTAAGCTTATTTCCCGAAGTTGTTCAACATACATTATGTAGAAAATTGACATTTCGTATCTTAACTGTTTTTATTCATAATGTCTCTCATCTACTGAATGAGATAGACAAATACATGGCAAAATACACTAGCCATAATTAAATGACAAATTCTAACTTACAAATCCTTCAACAAAGCAGACAAAACCATATAATTGACAATGTTAAAAAATGATCAGTAAATGCATGTGGTCGACTAAAAACATTGTTATTATAGAACACAAATTAAGCGTAAAAGAATACTTCTTAACCCTCTTCTAATAAAAGCAGCTTATGTTGCATATCACTTTGCATATTTTGTTAGATAATATAACACTGTAGATAGTGATGAGTGTTTAATATCTCCAGGGAAGGCTTTATGTCAATAACCACTCTTTGGGCACCCGTGTGGCTCAGTCAGTTGAGCGTCCCACCCTTGATTTCAGATCAGGTCACATCTAGTGTTTCATGTGATCAAGCGTTTCATGTGGTCTCAGCTCAGGTCACACGTAGCATTTCATGTGACAGTGTGGAGCCTGCTTGAGGCTCCCCCCCACCGCCCCGCTCCGCTCACCATCTCAAAATAAATAAATAAACTTAAAAAAATAACCCCCTTTAAAATTTCTTGCCCCTACCTCTATACCTTGGTACTTTGTGAACACGTAACTGAGGAATGGAAAGAGCATCAGTATTGCCGAACTTGACCAGTACTCACGAGAGGATATTCCCAATATAGGCGTAGTAGGAACAACAGTAGGGCGTGGCCCCATCGCAGCAGTAAGATCTGCAGTCTTTGCCACACTGAGCAAGGCAATCCTCTGCAAAAGAAACACCACACACGTCCTTTACAGTTCTGAAATCACAGCTTCATGAAAAATATTCTATTTTATGTCTCCATCAGTCAGTGACCACACTTCGGTGCATTTAGGTATTCATTTTGCATACTCAGAATTCTAAAACATGAATAAGCATCTAAACTAGTCTTCCTTCCCTATTGGACATAAATCCAGAAGAGGCAAAGACCATTCTGTTTTGAATTTCCTTCATCCAACACCATAACTGGTAGTTGGAAGTGCTGAACGGGACGAAAGGAGAAATGAATGATCCAACAGATCAGCCATTCAATTTTGCAACAGAATTCTTACAACAATTTCAAAATGATAAAGTCTTTTGACTTGAGGGTCACATTAAGGTCATTTGATGGCATGTGTTATTGACGTGTATACTGTCAACTGGAGATACTTTTTAGATAATGTATATTTTTATGACAATGCATTATATGTTACTCTTTCTGTACATTTTGTTTTACCCTCTTAATGACAGTTTGCACACATATGGTAACACAACTGAGTCTGCATATCCTGTCAATTCATCTGGATTGGGAGACAATGGGTTAGTTGTAGGAAGGCGTTTCCGTAGATAACTATCTTGTGAATAATTAACAATTTATTTAATGTTGGATTTAAGAATCAACAAGTTATGAAACAGCACTACGGGAAGGGAAAAAGGTGCTTTCTGAGTAGAAAGGACATGTTGGAGCTGATAAAGCCAAATTACTGTCTTTTTTCTTCCATATGTTTTCGGCAAGGAAAATTAGACCCCACATTTGAATAAAAATTGCCCTGGCTTTTAAAAATTCTTCGTGCCACCTAAATGATTTATGTTTAACAAGTTCAGATGATTATTTAATTATGATCACTGGTATAAATTATCATGGATATGTGAGTTTGAGGTACATGATTAGAAACGCACTAAATATAGTCTGGTAATTTAAGTTACATGTTCAAGAATCACAAAGGAAGTCCTTTCCAACTCAATCCCTAGAGGTAATATCAACTATTATCTAAATTATGTAACACTTTTGCTTGTCTGTCTAAACCATAACCGAAAAGTACAAGATGTTACATTATGTCTGTGTGTCCAGGTGATTGATTTATCCAGAAAGAAAAATTTAGATTTAAAAAAATATTAATGTGTATTTATTTTTGACAGAGAGAGAGAGAGGACAAGGTGGGAGGGGCAAAGAGAGAGGGAGACACAGAATCTGAAGCAGGCTTGAGGCTCTGAGCTGTCAGCACAGAGCCCGACACGAGGCTTGAACCCACAAGATGTGAGATCATGACCTGAGCCGAAGTTGGACGCTGAACTGACTGAGCCACCCAGGCGCCCCTAGATTTTGTTTTTAAATCACCTCCCTGACAGGATGATTCTTGACAAATGAATGTCATCACAAAGTAGCAAAGTTCATTGATCTTTTTCAATAATGCATGGCCTTTGCAGAACACGTGAAAACGTTCACCTTTTTTCCCCCTCCATTTTACTTCTACCCCATAAATTAATAAACCTTAATGTTTTCTTCTGAGATGAGGTAAGAAGAAAGGAGAGGAAGAAATAATTACTTTGTAAGATTCAGTAACTCTACTGAAAACCACTGCTAAATTTTGAAGACAAGAAGCACAATCTAATGACCTACTGACAGGGTATGCTCTTTGCAGAGTGCATCACACTTTTTAAGGCTATTTATCTTCTCATTTTTCCCTATGAACTTCTATAGCTCTCATTTTTAGTGCTGTTTAGTTAATTCAAACATTTAGATTAGTTAGTTGTCTCAAGAGGCTTAACCGGGATGTTTTGCTGCATGTTCTCTAAAGCCATTCGGAGAGTGGAAGAGCCGATGTCCCCATTTTTTCTGTGTGAGCAGGACAACCCATATGTAAGTAGCTTCATGGGGTGCCTTCGGAATGATGCCCTTGATAGTGACGTCTTATTAAACTCTCCGTGAATATCAAAGGTTCAATTACTATTATTGTATTCCAGTTACTACTATTATAAGGACGTGGTGTTATCAAAATATTTTGAACCAATGTTACAGGAAACCAACATCTTGTAGCCAAGGAGCTGGATTATACCTGCAGCAAACATCAGGATCGTGTCACAAGTTGTTCCTTATTTTGATGGCATTTTCTAGCACTCCTGTCTACTTCCCAGAATTAAACAACTGACAAGGGCAGATGTAAGAGTATGGCAAACAGATTCACAATCACAACATTCTCAAACTGAGGTTTTGACCACACGTCAAATCTTCTATGTTAGTTGCTCTCTCCAGTTTAGTGGAGAGCAATTCTGTGAAAATCAGATTTGGAAGGCACCGGAGCATTTTCTCACTTGTAAGGAATGGAACATTCCAATTGTTTCAGAAGATAATTGATATTACCTCTAATATTCGAGTGAATATTCTTGAAAAGTAGCCAGTTCAAACTTTCTTCAGTGACTTGAATCAAAGGCATGATGTGGAAGAAGGTTCTCCAACCCTCACCCCCACCTCAAGGAATTCGTGGCACAGGAAAAGCGACATCTGGTTGCAAAGCACATGCTCAGAAATGGCTCTTGTAAGCTACAGCTGAGGATAAGGGAGGAAGGAAAGGGAGGGGACAGCAGTCACTGGCTGAGGCTGGGAAGGTAAAACCTTGGCCAAATCCTGTCTTTGTTGCCAGCGGTGGGAGTTGGATAACAGCATAAATGTCATCGGGTCTCTTTCCGAAGGTGGTTCCACAGCAAAACGTGATGCTTTAGGCACAGAAACTTCGCCCGTACCTCCTTGTCAAAGGGAGCATGAATTTAGTGCATCTGCTTTGGGGGAAAATAATTCAGGTTATAGGCCGTGCATCTACATAGGTTTTTGTCCCATTAAAGCTGGAAATTTATTTAACAGGGTGTCTCAACTGTTAGATCGGCATTGTTTCCTCATCATCCCCCAGTCCTCATTTCCAGCCACATGTCTTAGTTCCAACCAAAATGAATTCTGTATCATTACAAATATATATCTCATGGTTTTTGCCTTTGTTCACATTATATCCTCCTCCATTTCCTTATGTCCAAGGCTTCCCTATCTAGTCCCTAAATTCCTCCTTAAGTTCAATTTCTCTGAGCGATTACTTATTGGGTTCTTCTTATGGGCCAGGTATTTTGCCGGTCTCTGAATATCATGTTGAACAAAACAGACATCATCTTCCTGGAGCTTACTCTCCTAAGCCAGCCATGAGGTTCCCTCCTGTGAACAGTTCTGGCACATGACTGTAATTCGCCTATGACACAGCCTTTTATACATCATAATAGGCCTCCTTTATCTCCCAGATGAAACTCAGAGCAAGGCCTCTGTCCTATATAACACTCAAAATGCCTCACTCAGTGAATATTGGGTAAATAAATAAGGCAAACATAAAGGGATTTCTGAAGCAAAGAGTTCGGGAGTTAACGCCAAAGAACACACTGGCTAAATATTTCTTATCAAAGATAGTAAGTTAATTTAGTATTATTGGCTTGTAGTTATTCTGTAGCTTTTGAGGGGGGTATGCCTAAGAAGAGAAGAAATGAAGGCAGAGAAACTTTCTAAACTAACCAAACTTGTTGCCAGAAGGCTTTGCAGATTTCCTGAACCCTGGGGATTGTTCACCAAGCACAGGGTGGGGTGGGGGTGGAGGTGGGGTGGGGGTGGGGTGGGGGAACAGGACGAAAGGAAGGAAAAGCGTGTGCATTAGAAGCTTTCAGTTTACCACAGGGAATAAAATAGACAAGAGTAAGTTGTTGTTCAACGGTGTGCTTGAGTAAAGATGAGTGAGGTTTTGTTCTATTTTCTTATTTTTATTTTTGTTTTTGGATAAACAGAGGAGGTGAAAAGAATCATTGCTTCAAATGAACGAATGGGAAGATTTTACTATAAAGCCAATAACGCAATTGTTTCTTTTAGCTTCGCAAATTCTGGAATACACTTTAAGGTACAGAAATACGCAAACGGATTAGAATGCAGTTTCTCCTCATTAAGTAGGAAGTTCTTTTCCTATTTTGATGAATTTTTGCATTTGAAAGTCAGAATTTTCCTTGCAATAAAATATCTTTTAAATAACTTAAAGACAGCCACTAATTCACATTTTAGTGTATAAATTGGAAATTTCTATAGAAGTTTGGGGAGTCATTTCTGGCAAGGTTGAATGAGAAGTTCAATTCTCTTGACGTTCACGTTCAATAATGTTGAAGAACCTCTTCATGTCAGTCGCAATCTTCGTTAAGTATCAAGAAATAAATCACAGTGCTACATAAATTTATTATTGCAAGGTCACAGGTAAGCCTGTGATTTTTTTTTTTTTTTTTTTTTTTTTTTTTTTGTCCTAGGAAGCGAGAGACATGAAAACATTTTACAAAGAACTTTGCTTTCAGCTTCTTTTGTGAATAGGAAGCAAATGCAAAACCACATGTGTAATTAACTTTATACATGAATAACCAGTGAAAAGCCATTTTGAGTTCCATATCAATCATGAAACAAGAAAACCGCTTTGCTCCATCAATTATTAGCAATTCTCAGGAAGAATAATTAGGAGGAGGGAAATGAAATTCCTTTCACCTATAAACAGTGCTTCACGAAATCGATGAAAACAGGATTAGACTCTGGGTGAATTTACGCCTCCCGAAAACCTCCTATTTGAACTCAAAGCATCCAATTATCCAGACTACCACACTTGAGAATCATCTTCTAAAGTGAAAAAAACAAAACAAAAAACCCGATGGTCTAAGGCTTTATATTTCGAAATACTCAGAATGTGGGGGTAGCAAGGAGAGGAGATAGACTACTTTGAAATGGAAAAGTCACCACATTAGTTCATGTTAAAACTTCAGCAAATACCTCTGAATCTCGGGTACTTTTAAAAAAAAAATGCTTTTCTCCCACCCCTCAGTCTCTGCCCTCAACCCCCAGATTCCTGAGTCGTGGACAGAATCAATGGAACGCTATCCAGAGAGTGAAATCCTCGAAATGTGCGTTTGGGATTTTTAAATTGGACTGGGAGTTTTAAATTGCTTGCAGAGAGAGAAGGGAGGAGGAAAGGGGAAAGGGAAAGTTAAAGAAAAGGAGCAAAACAAAACAAAACCTCGAGGGAGGTCGAGCCGAGGGTCGCAGCACGCCGGCTTCCCTGGCTGCCCGGCGGGGACCACCCCGTCTCGGCTCTCCCACCAAGGTCCCCGTGCCTCCCGCCCAACCCGCGTGGCCAGAGGGCGACCCGAGCTCAGTCCCACGTCTCGTTCCCCTCTCCCGCCGCCCCAGGCCACTGACCTGCGTAGACAAAGAGCAGGACCAGCTTCGGAAGCAAGATTCCTGGACCCCCGGGCAGCCTCAGCGCGTCCATCCAAGCCGGTGGCCGGAGGTTGCGCGCCAGGACAGACGGACAGACGCACAGACTGGAGAGAGGGCTGATGGGGGGAAGAAGGGAGAGCCCGGGCCGCGGAGGAGCCGGAGCGCGGTCAGAGGGAGAGGGCAGCGCTCCCGAGAGGGGGGTCGCGCGGGGACCGGGCCATTGTCCTGAGCGTCTTCGAGGGGAACCCGGCCGTGGCGCGCGGGGCTGCGCTGGGGCCGAGGTCTCTTTGTCTCTGCCCGCGGCGCTCAGGCGGCAGGCGAGGCAGCCGCTCCGGCGTCCTGGGCCACCCGGGCTCACATTTCATCTCCGCGGGTGGCACCGACGTGGGGCTGGGGGCGGGGGTGGCCCCGACTCCTCCCCACCCTCGGGTTCTTCCTTCTGTGGCTTGAGTCCTGGAGCAAGAGGGAACTTCTTCCAGCCCGGTGCTCTGGCAGTTGCTCTTTTGAATTCCAGCCCTGCGCTCCAATTTTTCCTTTGGAGGCAAGAGGTGAAGAAGAATCTAACTTTTCACCTTTCAACAAAGGTAGGGCAGTTGCAGGGTTGAAGGTTCTGGACAAAGGAAGCCACTAAAGAAAGCCCAGAAGAATTGGAAAGTCAGAGGCCGTGTGTAGCTTCTCTGCTGAGAGCTAATAAAATGTTTATTTGTTAAACACCTAAAGCATCGTCAGTAAAGTGGAAAACACAACAAGAATGTAAACTGTCATCGCTATTAGTTGATGCTGTTCTGGAGTTACTGGCCTATGCAATTAGGCAAGAGAAAGAAAAAAGTTATAAAAATTGGAAGCAAAAATTACCACTGGCAAATGATATGCTTGTATATGTGGAAAATCAGACAGAATCAACTATACAGCTCTTAGAGTTACAGAGACTCAATCATTTTCTTTCATGCAAATTAGAATCGATTAGAAAGTTCTGTTTTAGGCATGAAGAAAAAAAAAGCATGAGTAAGTGAATAAAGATAATTGTCTTTATTTATTAAAGAAATTTGGGGCGCCTGGGTGGCGCAGTCGGTTGAGCATCCGACTTCAGCCAGGTCACGATCTCGCGGTCCGTGAGTTCGAGCCCCGCGTCAGGCTCTGGGCTGATGGCTCAGAGCCTGGAGCCTGTTTCCGATTCTGTGTCTCCCTCTCTCTCTGCCCCTCCCCCGTTCGTGCTGTGTCTCTCTCTGTCCCAAAAATAAATAAACGTTGAAAAAAACTAAAAAAAAAAATAAATAAATAAATAAAAGAAATTCAAAAGAGTGATGAATGGGATAAGCCTCAACAGAAAATAACCATATTATAACATCACAATGATTGAAACAGTTTTCATTAACACTAGAATAGATAGGCTTAATGGAACAGACTGGAGAATCCAAAAATGGAGATACATATGCATAGAAATTAAATTTATAGTTTTAAAAAAGATACATTTAAAGCAGAAGAGGAAATGATGGGTTACCCAGTGAATAGTGCTGGGGCCTTAAGTGAGCATCTGTAGATTCTTATCTCCTTTCATCAAAACAGTAGCATACGAATCAAGTATTTAAACTTGAAGATGCAATTATAAAAATATTGGATAAAAAATGGAAAGATGACATGTAAATAATTATGGAAAGCTTTTCTAAGCGTTATATGATCTCAGAAGTCATAAAAGAAAGAAATTGACCAATTTGACTCCATAAGAAATAAAACTGTCTGTATAGGACAAGCCACACATTTAACTGGGAAAAATATTTACAATGCATAGGATAGGTAAAGTCCTGATCTCCTTAATATGTAAGGAACTTCAAAATCAATAAGGAAGGGGCACCTGGGTGGCTCAGTCGGTTAAATGTCCGACTTCGGCTCAGGTCATGATCTTGCAGTTTGTGAGTTCAAGCCCCGCGTCAGGCTCTGTGCTGACAGCTCAGAGCCCAGAGCATGCTTCGGATTCTGTGTCTCCCCCTCTCTCTGCCCCTCCCGTGCTCATGCTCTGTCTCTCTGTCTCTCAATAATGAATAAACATTAAAAAATTAAAAAAAATCAATAAGGAAAAGAAAACCAATAGAAAACTGAGCAGGAATATTAATAGATTGATCTACCTATCTATCTATCTAGGTCTTCTAGTCTTCTAAACATCCTAACTTCCCAAAAAGAAATGAAAGTGAAAACCAAAATGACAGTGAGACATCATTCTTTCATATATCAGATCAACCAAATAAATAAATAAATAAAATAAAAAATAAAAACCAACAACCCAACTTTTAAGAACAATGTGGCAATATGTATCAAAATTCAAATACACATTCAGTTTAATGCAGTTTGTCCTCCTCTAGCAGGTTAGTCCTATCAATATGCTGCTGCTTTGGTATAAGAAGATGGGAGGAAAAACCACCTTCAAAATAAATATAACCGGAGAACCCTAGCAGGCTGTATGCTTCAGTGAAGGCCTAGCCATCCACCTGTCCAATAAGAAGCCCGGTCAATTGCTCCTCTCTCTCAGTTCTAACAGCTGATCTATCACACAGTTTTTCTGATGGTGCACCCAAACAACATTCAAATATATTTGCATTTTGCCTTCTATCTCTGCTCTAAGCTAGGCTCTTAGAGTCTCCATTACAACCAGTCTCCTGGCTCCAAGGATATTCTCCAGACTAAAACTAGAATATTTCTTCTTAAATTATAGATTTCATCACATTCACTCACTGGTTTAAAACCCAGTGCATTCGTTTTGCTCTTGGGTTAAAATCCAGACATTTAATCCATGGTTTTTGAGAAACTTTATCAGTGGGTTCTGTTGTTCTTAACCTGATCTCAACATTCTTCTGGGGAACACAATTGCTAAGTAGCTATGAGAATTTGTAAATAACTAGAGGAAGTCTCAGATATATAGGATTTTACGTCCTAAAAGAAGAAGATACGGATGTAAGTGAGTATTTGCAAAGCTGGAGAAGGATATTGAAGGTTTTTGGAATGGAAAGATGCTTTCCTCTGCAGATAAAACTGGATGCAGAACCCTAGGATTGGGGTGGTGGGGACAGGCATCTGGAGATGAAGGGCAGGACTGCTCCCACCCAGTGGTTGCACACAGCTCTGGGACTGGCAGCTTGTTGCCAATGAGGCCAGTGGCAAGTGGAATATGTTGATCCCAGCTTGCTTTTGAGAACAGAGAACCTTCTCCTCATACATGTCAATGGAAAAGGCCAAGCAGGCTTGCCTCCTGGTTTGCCATTGCAAAAGATAGTCCACCTTGAAGTACTCAGGTGCTTTAGGTGCAAAATATGTATGTATATATGTATGTACATGCCTACACAAACCTATATGAAATGAAAACCCTTAAAACACAGCATTAGAGGGAAGAAAAGAGTTTCTGGAAATTAAAATAAAACTTGACTTGGAATTTTAAAAATATCACAGAAAAATTACAAAATTGTCACAGATTAAAAAAAAAACAACTTAGGCTGTTAGAGGGGATAGGCTCAAGTAGAGGGCATATTTCCTAACAGAAAAATATGCAAAGAAATACAAACCATGAATAAAAATATAACAAATGCTAAGGCATAGAGAAGAGACCGAATATGAAAATAATATGCAAGCTAGATTCAGTTTTAAAAGAAAAAAAATGAAGAAACCAATATTAAAAAGATTATTGTTTAAAATTCCAAGCTATAATAAAATTTGAATTTTCAAATTTAAAATGGTGAGTTCCAGGAAAACTTTTTAAAAAGAGGAATGCATATATACATATCCTAGAGACCTATTTGAACTAGCATTAACTTAAAATAATATAAATTTTTCTATATAATAAAATAAGTTTGCTTAGAAAAAGAATCCAACATCAGACTTCTCATTTGCAACCTTAGAATTTAAAAGAGCAAAAATATTTCTGTACCTTTGAAAGATAAAGACAATAGCCCAAGAATCCTATTTCCAAATCAGATTCCATTAACATTTGAGTTTGTTAACATGTTTATAACAGTATTTATAATAACTTTAAAACATGATAAAGAGCTTACATGTCCAGTTAGGTGAATTAGGATATATCCATATTATGGATTAATATCCAGTACTTTAAGATAATGGGGAAAGTCCTTGAGATACATAGTTAAGACGAAAAATGGGAAAGGAAAGTATCCAAGGGAAGTAATCCATGGATAAACATGTGCTGTATATTCATACAGTGAAACACAACTTGGCAGTAAAAACAAGTTTGAAGAATATGCAACAGCATGGATGAGTCTCTGGATGAATATGCTGAGCAAAGAAGCCAGACACAAACAAATTACTGTATAATATTGTTTGCATGATATTGTGGAAAAGGCAAAATTGATCTATAATGACAGAAAGCAGATTAATGATTGCCTTGGAATGGGGTAGGAATATAAGTTTTATTGCAGAGTCTCATGAGGGAATGTTTGGGGGTGATGGCAAAGTTCTATATCTTAATAATGGTGGCCATCACCCAGGTGCATACATGTGCTGAAGTCTTGGAAATGCACATTAACAGTACACTTAAAATATGCATGTTCTAGAGTGTGTAAATTATACCTCAAGGAAGTTGATTTTTTAACGTTTATTTATTTTTGGGACAGAGAGAGACAGAGCATGAACGGGGGAGGGGCAGAGAGAGAGGGAGACACAGAATCTGAAACAGGCTCCAGGCTCGGAGCCATCAGCCCAGAGCCCGACGCGGGGCTCGAACTCCCGGACCGCGAGATCGTGACCTGGCTGAAGTCGGACGCTTAACCGACTGCGCCACCCAGGCGCCCCGGAAGTTGATTTTTTAAAAGCTATTGCTAATACATACATGGGAGATAAGAGTACATACAAATTTGTAAAAATAGCTATTTTTTGACTGCTAGAATTCTAATTAATTGTTATTTAATAACTCCCCCTGAATTTTCACTATAGCTATACATAGCTCATAGCATATAATAAATACTAGCTTTAAAAAGATGGTATCCAGGGGCACCTGGGGGACTCAGTCGGTTAAGTGTCCGACTCTTGGTTACGGCTCAGGTCATGATCTCATGAATTCAAGCTCTGTATCGGGCTCTATGCTGACAGTGCAGGGCCTGCTTTGGATTCTCTCTTTCCCGTTCTCTCTGCCCCTCCCCTGCTTGCATGTGAATGTGCTCTCTCTCTCAAAACAAACAAACAAACAAACAAACAAACAAATTTTAAAAAAAGATGGCATCCATCTTTTGCAATATTACATTATTAAACTCATGTCTATGGAGAATAATAATACAGAAAAATGCTCATAGTCTTTCTAAGGAAGAAGCCAAATTGTATTTCCTTTGAGATACTAATTTAGGGAACACATAGATACATACTTCTTTAT